GTGTTTCCACTGTCACTTCCGGGGCCTAATCGGGCCAAAGCTGGGCTTTCTTGGGGCCAGTGGCCGGCCTTTGTCGGCCCGCCGAATACCTTGGGCCAAAGACGACCAGCCGGGGCTTCGGGGCGGAGTGAAAGGAGAGGCGGCACAGTTTTACAAATCACACATGTACTCATGCTCCAAACAAATAAACAAACAAATAAACAAATAAACAAACAAACAACAACAAAACAAATAAGGGAACGAAAGCATCTGGCCTTATCGTGTCTTTTTGCGTATGATCACTCTTATGCTTCTCTTTTAAATGTAAGGCTGCTGCATAAATGAATGATGTAGTTTTAGTTTATAAGTGACTTTTCTTTGCTGCGTCCTCCTTGATGATTTAATGACGCAGAATAATCTTCACACCATATTAAACACACAGCACACAGTAAAGGTTTTACAGAGTTATTGTCAAGTTTAAAATGTGTGTTTGTGCGCGTTCAGATGCCTGTGTGTGTGTGTGAGAGACTGAGGAAAAGAGCGCTCCCTTTACAGCTGTGTTGATGCTGCGCGGCTTTTAAAAAACTTATTTTGGAGATAATACCCCTTATAAAAATAACCGAGGGACCTAAAACTTAACCTATTACCAGCCCCCTTTAAACCATATAGTGTCATATCTTGATAAAATAGCCTAAACTATACTGAAATATAATTTAAAGAATTACAAATATCATATATAATAAAATCACATTAAATAAATAAACCAATATAAAATAAACAAAAGCTAACCAGAACAATGTAGATAGCCTATATACAATACATAAACCAAACTGTTTAAAGCCACATATAGCCTAACTTTCATTTTACAAAGGCTTATCTGAAAAAAAAGATTTTAGATATTCTCTAAAAACAATAAACACCGGGGAAGGTTTGAAATATTATTTATAAAGTATTTGGATGCGATGATGTTAATCAAATCGTGCAAACAGGGCATTATTTGGGTGAGTGAAAGCAGAATCTGGCACCTTTTTTTCTGTCACTCAGTCCTGCGCAGCGCTCGCTGCTTTAAACACATCGGGGGAAAGCCCAAACACAAAATGTGTTCTATATCCTCACACAAGTGTTCATGTGTTTATATGACGTGATCTAATTTATCAATGAAACTTTAAATGAAGAGCTTCAGTGAAGCTGCCGAGCGCAACTAATATGGCTATATTTCATTAGGCTACTCGCTCTTGTGCTGAAACACTGAACACGACGTCTGTCTAAACGAGGCTGTTATAAAACGCATGCCATATCGAGTTATAATGGAGAATTACTGAGGTGTTATATTATGGATGGTGCGCTCTCTGTGCTGGGTCCCTCTGTTAGTGGCGAGAGCACTCTGCACAATGCCAACAGTCGGTCATGTGCTGCTGTACAGTAACGGCTCATGTTTTAGTTTGGTTCATTTTAATGGTGTGGTGATGATGTGGTGTGCTTTATCTGCTGATTCCCGCTGAAGTGGGCGGGCTGTGTGACGTCTGATTCGGGGGATGTTCTGGGGGCGGGGTTTGCGTGATGTGCTGTGAGCTACTAGCCCGACAGTGGAAACACGACATGATTTCAGCCTCATTACTCAACCTCCCGGGCGATTGGCCCGGCCCGGCCCAATAAAAGCCCTGGCTCGCACTGGCCCGATAGTGGAAATGCGGCTAATGTCATGTTGTCTACTGGGAATCATGATATCTCTAAAGGAGCTGCAGACATGGAACTGAAGCAGATTTGGGTAAAAGCATAAGCAATACACACAGTAATAACACAAACCCAACACAATCTGCAACACGAGCTGTGTGTAATGACCTTATTTCCCCCGCTGTATCCACATATTCTCCAGTCAAAGCCCAAATTATTCACCCCCGGGCAAATTCTGACTCGAGTTTTAGTTTGAATGTCAATAAACTCAGCGATGCTCTTGTGCACGGTCTGAGAAAAGCCAATCAAACGTGCTGCTTCAGTAAAGTCCGCCAGAATTGGCCCGAGGGTGAACAGTGCGGGCTGGACTATATGTGTGTGCTTGACATGATGCTCAGGAAAGGGTTTAAAAGAGCTGCAGTGCAGTGCTCCACATGATGCCACATCATCAATAACAGACCCGGTAGACCTGGAGAAACAGCCTGATGAGGATGATGACGAGCTCTTGAAGATCATCATGCAGGATACTGTGGACACAGCGAGGCCTCCTCCGCCATCATATAACACCAAACACAACCGTCGTCATGACAGCATTCAACAGTTGCCCCGCCTCCGAGCTCTTCTGGTGTGTGGCGATCGCACACGTCCATCAAGAGTGTGTTTACCTGCAGAAACAAGAGAAGAGTCGTGTGTCAGACAGGAAACAGTTCTGAGTGAACGAACCCTCACACCAGCCTGAGTCCTTCATCAGTGACGCGGCTGGTGCAGATCTGCTGAAGTGTGTGTGATGGTGTTGATTGTGTGTGTTTGTGTGTTGCAGTGGACGGACGGGCCTCCTCCTGTGCAGATTCAAGCTCAGAATGGACCTACAACAAGCCTGGCGAGCCTGCTTTAAACACACACACATACATACATGCGCACACTGTACATACGCGTCCTCTCTCACACACACACACACACACACACACACACACACACACTCCTCCGCTGCACTCCTCTGTCTGCTGTTTGTCTTTAATTTGGATGTTTTTATTGACGGTTTCTGCTGGTGTGTGTGTGTGTGTGTGTGTGTGTGTGTGTGTGTGCAGCAGATGGGTTAGTTCGACTGGTAATCAGATCATCGTCAGACATCACCTGTGCTCCTCTATCATCCTCAGACGCTCCTCAGTTTAGTGTCTGGGCTTCAGCAGCTCCGGCTCCCACATCCTCAACACCCCCCCTTTGTGTGCGTGTGTGTGAGCGTGTGTGTGTGTGCGCATGTGTGTGCGTGTGTGTGAGCGAGTGTGTGTGTGCGCATGTGTGTGTGCGTGTGTGTGTGTGCGCGTGTGTGTGTGTGCGCATGTGTGTGTGTGAGCGTGTGTGTGTGTGCGCATGTGTGTGCGTGTGTGTGAGCGTGTGTGTGTGTGCGCGTGTGCGTGTGTGTGTGTGCGCGTGTGTGTGTGCGCGTGTGTGTGTGCGCGTGTGCGTGTGTTTGCGTGTGTGTGTGCGTGCGCGTGTG